ACAAGCTCTTACTTGCTTAGCTTGACTCCCTATTCCTCTCGACCGGTTAGATTTTTTTCCACTCGCCCCACTACTCGCTCAGAAAAATGATTTTTTTAAATGGATTAGTTTAATTAAAATATGTTCAAGTATTTTTTTAAAAAATTGCGAATTTACAAAACCATGAATTATAGAAAATGTTCATGAATTTGAAATATATACATGGATTAAAAAATGTTTGCAAATTAAACAAGTTACAAATTTTAAAAATATTCACAAACTTTAAAAATGTCCGTGAACTACAAAATATTCATGGATGTAATAAATATTAATGAAGTTAAAAATGAATTTTCTTTTTCTTTTTAATGTTCACATATTTTAGTAAGCACTCATGAATTAAAACCTGTAAAAAATTAAAGAGAGACGGGAAATAAATCTAGGCAACAAATAACCATACATGCGGGTCCCACAATGACCCCACAATCCCCGAAGCACTAGAGCGCTTCAAATCATGGGGGCTTAGTATCTAAAGCTTTTTGGTGCATCGTTGTGGTGTCCTTACACGTGTCGGTCTCGGTGCCAGTTGGTGGTTGTCGTTTGAGACTTTTGAGAGGTCTTATTCCTCGCTAAAATCGTTGAATTGCTGCTATAACACTCACATGGATCAGTCCACAAGCTCTTACTTGCTTAGCTTGACTCCCTATTCCTCTTGGTCGGTTAGCTTTTTTTTCCGCTCGCCCCACTGCTCGCTCAGAAAAATGAAATATTTTTTAAATGGATTAGTTTAATTAAAATATGTTCAAGTATTTAAAAAAACATTGTGAATTTACAAAACCATGAATTATAGAAAATGTTCATGAATTTAAAATATATTTATGGATTAAAAAATGTTTGCAAATTAAACAAGTTACAAATTTTAAAAATATTCACAAACTTTAAAAATGTCCGTGAACTATAGTATATTCATGGATGTAATAAATATTAATGAAGATAAAAATGTATTTTATTTTTCTTTTTAATGTTCACATATTTTAGTAAGCACTCATGAATTAAAACCTGTAAAAAATTAAAGAGAGACGGGAAATAAATCTAAGCAACAAATAACCATACATGCGGGTCCCACAGTGACCCCACAATCCCCGAAGCACCAGAGCGCTTCAAATCATCGGAGCTTAGTATCTAAAGTTTTTTGGTGCATCGTTGTGGTGTCTTTACATATGTCAGTCTCGGTGCCAGCTGGTGGTTGTCGTTTGAGCCTCTTAAGAGGTCCTATTCCACACTAAAATTGTTGAATTGCTGCTATAACACTCACAGGGATCAGCCCACAAGCTCTTACTTGCTTAGCTTGACTCCCTATTCCTCTGTCGGTTAGCTTTTTTCCGCTCGCCCCACTGCTAGCTCAGAAAAATGAAATATTTTTAAATGAATTAGTTTAATTAAAATATGTTCAAGTATTTAAAGAAAATATTGTGAATTTACAAAATCATGAATTATAGAAAATGTTCATGAATTTAAAATACATTCATGGATTAAAAATGTTTGCAAATTAAACAAGTTTCAAATTTTAAAAATGTTTACAAACTTTAAAAATGTCCATGAACTACGAAATATTCATGGATGTAATAAATATTAATGAGGGTAGAAATGTATTTTTTTCCTTTTTAATGTTCACAAATTTTAATAAGCACTCATGAATTAAAACTTATGAAAAATTAAAGAGAGACATGAAATAAAACTGAGCAACAAATAATCTTACATGCGTGTTCCACAGTGATCCCACAATCCCCGAAGCACCAGAGAGCTTCAAATCATGGGAGCTTAGTATCTAAAGCTTTTTGGTGCGTCGTTGTGGTGTCCTTACACGTGTCGGTCTTGGTGCCAGCTGGTGGTTGTCGTTTGAGCCTGTTGAGAGGTCTTATTCCACGCTAAAATCGTTGAATTGCTGCTATAACACTCACATGGATCAGCCCACAAGCTCTTACTTGCTTAGCTTGACTCCCTATTCCTCTTGGCCGGTTAGTTTTTTTTCCGCTCGCCCCACTGCTCGCTCAGAAAAATGAAATATTTTTAAATGGATTAGTTTAATTAAAATATATTCAAGTATTTTTAAAAAATATTGTGAATTTACAAAACCTTGAATTATAGAAAATGTTCATGAATCTAAAATATATTCATGGATTAAAAATGTTTGCAAATTAAACAAGTTTCAAATTTAAAAAAATCATAAACTTTAAAAATGTTCTTGAACTACAAAATATTCATGGATGTAATAAATATTAATGAAGCTAAAAATGTTTTTTTTTCTTTTTAATGTTCACGAATTTTAATAAGCACCCATGAATTAAAACCTGTAAAAAATTAAAGAAAGACGGGACATAAAACTAAGCAACAAGTAACCTTACACAGAACCAAAGAGCTAAATAGAAGATGTAGTCAAGACATTGGGGATGCACAGAACCAAAGAGCTAAATTGAAGAAAGAAGAACCAACAAAAGTAGATACAACCAACCATGCAAATCAAATAGACAACAACATTATTCACCGTCTTTGACAATACACAAATTACAAGAAATTTCCCTGGATGTAATGCATCCTGGAAGAAAATGATGGGCAAGCACCGCCATCTTAAGATCTAACCACTGAAGGCCATATCATAAGTTTTCACCTCAGAGAGCACGTCAGAGCAATCTCCAAAGCAATGCTTTCCTAGAAAACATGGAGTATACACACCGCCATTGCCAGATGAGATCAATGAAGGTCCTATGGTTTTCACCCGGGACCTCGATACCCGATACTCGAAGAGCATTACTAGCTCAGCCACCTTGGGTGGCCGCCACCATTTGTTGAAGAAGACCATTTTGCTAGGATGGGTACACCCATACCAAGGTCACAAGAAACTGAACTCCCAACCGATCTCTAGCATGCATGTGTGGCAATAGTCGGTCACGTGCATCTTCCTAAGGACATCAACACGCAACCAAAGCCATGCATGAGAACATGAAATGTCACACAACTTGGAGAGCCGAATGTCATCAACAACTTCATCTCGCATGTGCTCCACATTCCACAACAACTGCGACAACTACGACACACAAATACAACAACGTCCCCTAGTCCGCCACAAGATGTAGAGGGACACCCCTGCCCCATCGTTGCACCACTTCATGCCATCGCCAGACGTAGCCTGGAGGAAGCTAAACTACCTTCGGAGCTTCCAGCGAAGCGCAGGATCTGGGGACGGGAAAACCACCGGCACGCCAATATGTGTTTCACCAGATATGCCCATGGTAGGCCCGGACAGGCCTAGATCATACCCGCCCATGCACCGCCGCCACGCCCGGACCACTGTGGCGAGCCAACCCACTGCCACTACGTAACATATAGTTCAAAAGGTCACTTGTGAGGGAACGATCGGATAGATGGCTACATGTTGTGCACATGTTGATGCGGGTCAACCTTTCTGATATGTCAGATACACTACACTGGAAACTTTTGGTGTCAGGGGTATTCCCAGTGAAGTCTATGTATACAGACTTGGTAAATACTGGTCCAATACCAAAGTCACTTCACATTTGGAAAACCAAGGTGCCCTTAAAGATAAAAGTTTTTATGTGGTTCGTACACAAAGAAGTGGTCTTGACTAAGGACAACCTAGCAAAACGTAATTGGGAGGGTAGTAAATGGTGTTGTTTCTGTGATCAGGATGAATCAATCCAACATTTGTTTCTTGACTGTCCACTTGCCAAGCTACTATGGTGCACAATGCATGTGTCATTTAACATCGGCCCACCAGATAACATTAACATTATTTTTGGGACTTGGATAAACGAGGTAGAGCCTAAATTAGCGGCGCATATTCGAGTCGGAATGTATGCATTACTTTGGGCCATATGGAACTGCCGGAATGATACGATTTTTAACAGACAAAACATCCCAAAAAATTTGCAGTTAATCTACAGAGTTATTGGTTGGATCCGTACGTGATCGTTACTCAGCCGTGTGGAATCCAAGAAGCATATGGCTTATTAGTGCAACCGATGGAAGACGGTAGCACGGGATACTTACAACCGATTTGGATGACGATTCAACAATAGGATAAGTGTGTAGTCATCTAGTCCTTTGTTTTTTGCCCGTTGTTTCTTTGAGTTCTCCTTTTACTTATCTCTTGATGAGTTTTTGTATCGTAATATATACTTGTTTGATCTTTTGATTAATAAGATGACTGCATGCATCGCTTCGTGCAGAGGCCGGGATTGATCCTCTTTTTTCTAAAATAAGGAAATTAGAGTACCGAACTCAAAAAAGAAGAAAGAAATAAGAGTATCTGAAAATAAAGGATATGTCTGTCTTCTTTTCGCCTGAACTAAAGATTTGCAATAGGACTCCACGATTATTGGGATGTCGACCATGTGCATCAGTTTGTACAACACATCCAGCATATATGAGAGGAAGAAGAGAGGTTGACTTGAGTATGCAAGTTGACGCGAAATGCCTGGCTGGAATTCCGGACAGCTTGGACACGTTCCAAGCTTAGGCGGCGGCAGCTCACAGCAGGTTAATTCAATTCGATTGATCGTGGCTGAAGAAGAGATAGAGCACTAAGTGCATAATTGTCGTGCACGTTCGATCGATATCAATCCTTATCTTTCTTAGTAGTACAATATCATCTGCACGGTTCACAAGGCGCATAAACAATCGGTGTGCTTACCTTATTCGCCGTATAAATACAAGCCCTTGTTCAGCACAAGTAAATCGTCCGATCCGCAGCTGAGAAGCATTTCATCCCTAGTCTGCAAGAAGTGACGTAGAGATAGCTAAAACACTACATTGTCCTGTTCGAGGTGAAGAGGTCGATCGATCATGGCGAAGGGTGACGAGAAGAAGGCACCTCTCTTCGTGGCCATGGCCCTGGCCATCTACGTCGTTCTCACGGCGCAGGTGGGGTCGGCGGCGGCCCCTGGTACTGGTAGCTACGCCGGCCTGGAGGCACCTGTGAGGCAAGTCGTTCAGAAGTACAGTACATGGATATCAACCGGGGCTTGGGTGCTGGCCTCATCCGACTCGTCTTCCACGACTGCTTCGTCAGGGTAATTAAAGCTGCTCTCTTTTTTTTTAGTAGGGGAATTAAAGCTGCTCTTGCTGTTGCGGCAGTTTATGAAAAGCACACTTTATTTTCTTTTCTTTTTTTAGCTCCGTACGACAATAGTTCTATGGTAAATTTTTCATTAATGTATAGTACATGGTTGAAGGAAAACATAAGGGGAAACTAAGTAAAAACTGACACAACACGCCACAAAAGCATCAACCAATGCCTGTTCTTGGGAACATGTTTACTAATTTAGAAGTTCTCCACTGTTGGAACAATGTGGAATGCTTGTCCTTGATCATGTGCATAAGAAGTTGAAGATCCTTCTATAGAGCAAATCTCCAGTTTTGAACAGTTGGCTGAATGATGCCTTTCCATTGAAGCATGCCATTTCTTCTCTATTGGATTGTTAGATCACGAATTAATGAAATTATGTACCGGTGCAACTAATTAAATTTCACCATATTATGCAATATCTCAGTAGTGCAGTAGTGCAAATCTGGAGGCTAGCTTAGCTGACAACGAATGATCGTATAACTGTCCGGTAATCAACATTTTTCAAACTAACTCATGCATGCCTACTACCAGGGTTGCGATGGATCCGTGTTGCTTGACAGCACGCCCAAAAACACCACCAGCAATGATCCCCTGACGCTCGCTGGGAAGACGGAGAAGGCGTCGCCAAGCAACGGCGGCCTGCGTGGCCTCGAGGTGATCGACGCCATCAGGCTCAGGCTCGCCGAAAAGGATATCGGTGTCAACGTCTCCTGCGCCGACGCCGTCGTGTTCGCCGCCCGCGAGGCCACCTACATCCTGAGCAACAACACAATCAAATACGAAGTGGACGGGCCCGGCCGCAAGGACGGCGTCGTCTCGTCGGCAGAGGACCCGGGAAAACACCTCCCTAACCCCACCGACAACTTCCAGCAGCTCCTGCAAAGCTTCATGGCCAAGGGCTTCAACCTGGTGGAGCTCGTCGCCCTCTCCGGCGCACACTCTGTCGGCATCGCCAACCTAACGTCGGTCATACACCGATTCGGAACTCCGATCATCCACGGTGAGATGAACAAAACGTACGGTGCAGTCGTTGCAGCCGAAGGGCCGAAGCACTCTGGTGTGATAGAGAACAACGTCCGTGACTTCGACGATTCGAGCCGTAAGCTGGCTGGTTACCAGGCCAATGGGGTGGTGGACTTGGCGGCGGTGGGCTACCTAGACAACAGCTACTACAACGCCAACTTACAGAACATGGTGCTCTTCAAGTCAGACTGGGAGCTGACGCAGAACGGCACCGCAGAAGAGCACATGAAATCGTACAAGAAGAAAGCCAGTTTGTGGAACACAGCCTTCGCCAACGCCATGACCAAGCTCAGCAAGATGGTCGAGTCCAAGGACCCACTTTACGATATACCTGGCCAAACGGGCCGGCCCGGCCCGGCACGGCCCGGCCCATCGTAATCGTGCCTGGCCCGGCACGGCCCGCCAGGGCACGATTACTATACGGGCCGTGCCGTGCCGGCCCGCGTGCTGCGCCCCCAGGCCCAGGCACGGCCCAGTTAGTAAACGGGCCGGCACGTTGGCCCGTTTAGCACGGTGGGCCGCATATTTTCAGCCTGTTATTTGCCGCATTGAGCGTTTTTTAGCCTATTTTTATATATTGGGCCATATATAGATGTATAAAAAAATAATAAAACGTAATCGGGCCGTGTCGTGCCGGCCCGCGTGCCCAGCCTCCAGGCCCAGGCACGGCCCAGGGCATGCCGCGTGCCAGGCCCGGCCTGTTTAGACCGTGCCGTGCCTGGCCCAAGGCGGGCCGTGCCGCGCGTGCTCACGGGCCGGCCCGAAAAGAACGGCCCATTTGGCCAGCTATACTTTACGAGATCGGAAGCAGGAGGACATGCAATGTCACCAACCAGATGTCCTACCCTTAATTAAAGCGCGCGCGCGTCAAGATTTGAACGAGACAAGACATCCACGCACGACGTTTAATAATTATTCATTCTTTTCTAGTAGAACAATCATTTGTTTATCATTTAATTTGCTGAATCTCTTCGCCCATGTTTTCTTCTTCTTTTGAACTCATCTTTTGATGTTGACTCTCTTGGCTACACATGTGTAAAGCATACGCTTACATACGTTTTGAAATAATAACCAGACCAAAATAGCAACGTCTCACTTCGTCCGATCATTTGGTGGCCAGACGTGTATTGCACCTCGGAAAAGTTGTGGCTGCACCATGAAACATGTTTCCGCCCTTTTTTATAGACTAAGACATGTATCCGTACATTACAACGGGAGAAATAAATGGCTACACGTTCATGGCGACCCATCTATGTTGTCGCTTTTGCTCTTTGCAACCGGCCCCGATGATGGTCTTGCCGTCCACCTATTCACGCGACCATCGTCTATCATAAGGCGATGAGCTTTATCATCAAACCAACATGCCACTTTCGCAAGCCCCTCCTTGCATCGATTTATCATTTTGCGGACTTGTGATAACAGTGGGTGCCATACATATCCCATCTACACTTCGTGCATCACTGTCACACACTCCCACGGTCAGGGCCGTGCTCGCAATGTGCTCCTGATGCGCGCTGCCATGGTGGCCGACCAAGGCCAGGGCAGGCACAACATCGGTGACGCTGCGTCAAGAGACGTCGCGGTTGTGGGCGCGGACAGAAATAGGGGATCTCGGGCTGTTTTCGGTTCATGCGGGTGCAGTCGATCAAGCTCCCTCGCTCCGGCCTGCAACGTCACTAGATAGAAGCCTACAAGTCTGGAAGAGCAGCCATAGTAAAAGGCGGGCGGAGTATATTCGATGGCGACAACGAAGAAGCAAACTGGTGTCTTTGGCTCCTGCCTTAAGCTGGCCTGTATCGCACGTACTACACAGCAAAGTCGAAAAGACAGCCTATTTCCTTTTCTTTTTTTCTTTTTGGCGGAAAGAAAAGATAGCCTCTAATTGATTCCAAGGTTCCAATCAAGATCAGGTTGTAGGTTGGCTACTCTTCAAAGATCAGCCAAATACTAGGAACAATCTCTTCAACAAGAAGATCGCTCTACATGCCTCGGCCATGCTGCGACGCCCTACAAGAATGTGTTGCACCTTTTTCATTCGGTGTCCTTGTGCGCCTCAGGTTTGGCTCGACTTGGGGTTTCCCACCGGCCCCCATCTCCATTGACCTTATTTGGGATGCACCCTCTTTACATGGCCTCGACAACAACATCTAGCTTTTTGTGTCCCTCTATATCCTCTTGAACATTTGGGAATCGAGGAATGCTTGTGTCTTTTGTGGCAAGACATGCAAAGGGCTTACTGTTAGAAACATTGTTAATGATTTGTCTCTTTGGACCTTTTGATTTACTGTGCACTCTTAGAAGGTTGTTGTCCTACCTTGGCATTGATATCCCTCCTCACGCGCTAGGGCGATTCTACGAAACTAGCCTGATGGTTCTTTGAGTAATGCATTCAGTTCATGTGGGAACTCCCCTCCACCCTCTCGTGATTTGGGGATCATATTTGCACGTAGGTTGCCCGATAGCGACAGGGTGTGTTCCCCTTGGATCCCCATTGCGTACATGTGGGCCAGCCCAACTAACCTTCCGGTTTTGGGAACATACTACAACCTTCCCAAACCGGGTTTTCTTCTTCCTTTTCTTTTGGTTTTTTCTCCATTTCCTTTTTCTTTTTCATTTTTTGTTTTCCTTTTTTGTATCTTGTTTTTTGTTTTTTCTTTCCAAATTCATGAACATTTTCTGAAATCCATGAACATTTTGTCAAATCAGCGAACATTTTTCAAATCAGGAGTGAACATATTTTGAAATTCAAAATTTGTTTGTAGAATTCAAAAAAATTCATGAATTGTTACAAAAATATCAAATTAAAAAAATCATCTAGTTCATAAAATGTTCACTGAAATTAACATTTGTTCATCAAATACAAAAACTACTCATCTAAATTCGAAAACATTCATAAAAATTCAAAAAATATTCATAGAAAAATCAATTTTTAGTCATCAAAATTAAAAAAATGTTCATTTGTTGGAATTCGTGAAAAACATTCTGAATTCATGAACATTTGTTTGCATTAGTGAACATTTTTTAAAATTCTAAACTTTTTTCTAAATCACAAACTTTTTTAAAGAAGCAAAAAAAAATTCCAAAACAAAACAAAAAAGAAATGAAAAGAAACAAGGGAGCCCCGCCCCGCCCCGCCCTCGGTCTGCCCAAGTTCAAGCGCTGCACCTTTCCCAGCAAGCAGCGCGCGGAATAGGAGCTCCCCCGCGAGTGCTCAAAAAAAGGAAAAACGACTGCAAGAAAGCTTTGATTAAAATTGAATATTTTTCGGACGGCATTTTGGAACCAGTAACGTTCAATTCAGATTAATAAGATGTGAGGGAGAGGAAAATTGAGAATCGGCAAATCGGCGAGATTTTGATTACAAAACGGTGCAACCGTGATCTATTATGCAGGCACAAGGAAATCCGTGGCAACTTGCATGCGCGTACGTTGACCAATAGTATATTATATTTTTTTGGTGGCGTAACGACACCACGCGCTCCAGCTGATTATCCAGAGATTAAGCTAAGCTAGTTGTGGATGTGTTGCGCGCAATGATGCATGCTTGCTTGGCCTGCATTTCTGGCATCGACTGTATCCAAGCAGTTGATTAATTAAACACGCGTTACGCCAAATGCTTTAACGACAAGCAGCAGCAGGATTGACAATTGCGTCAGGTGTAGTGCATGCAAGCTATCGAAGCCCAGCGGGATCTCCGGCGCGCACCCATGCATTGCATGCAGCTCTCTGCTTCGTCGTGATCAACGTCGTGATGAGCTGAGCTCTATATATACCGCTGGATCTCAACCTCACTAGACACGCACAAACACACAACAATCCATCTTCAGTTCGCAATATCCATCTCCAGATCGATCTACGATGGTGATCAAGCTCAGCGCCGGCGCCATCGCGGTGTCTGTCTGCCTGTCGCTCGCCTTCTTCGCCGGGCACGGGCAGCCCGTGCTGGCCGACGGTGGCGGCGGCAAGAAGCACGATGTTGCTGACACGGTTAAGAAGGAAGTGGCCATGTCCATCAAGAAAAACCCGCGCATCGGCGCCGCCCTCGTCCGGTTGCTCTTCCACGACTGCTGGGTCCACGTACGTATGCATAAGCAAAGCCATGATCCGACAAATTTGCATGCCGTATTGCCGTCGATGACAGATGTATCTATCCATGCATGCGCTTGGTATTGATTTGCTGCGTAAAATGATGTACGTGCAGGGCTGCGATGGATCGGTGCTCTTAGACAAGGCGCCGGACGGCGGCAGCACGGAGAAGGACGCGACGAACAACATCGGCCTCGAGGGCTTCGACCTGATCGACAGGATCAAGGGCAAGCTCGGCGAAAGCGTCTCCTGCGCGGACATCGTCGTCCTGGCGGCCCGGGACGCGACCTTCATCCTCAGCCGCGGCAACATCGCCTACGACGTCACAACGGGGCGGAAGGACGGCGTCAGGTCGTCCGCCGCGGCCGCCGACGCCGTCCTCCCTCCATCCACCTTCAACTTCACCCAGCTCAAGGCCAACTTCGCCGGCAGGAACTTCACCCAGACGGAGCTCGTCGTCCTCTCCGGCACCCACGCCGTCGGCGTCGCCCACCTCTCGTCGTTCCGCGACCGGCTCGACAACGCCACGGCCACCCCGATCAGCGCCAGGTACCAGAGAGCCCTCGCGGAGCACATTGAGGAGCAGAAGGGCGTGCAAGGGACGCCGGACCCGACGGAGCCCAACAACATCCGCGACATGGAGTTGGCCTTCCGGAACGCCTCCGGGCACAACGCCAGCGGGGTGGACACGTCGAGGGCGGCGAGGGGGGTCCTGGACAACAGCTACTACCACGCCAACCTCCAGAACAAGGTGCTCTTCAGGTCCGACTGGGAGCTGCGCAACGACACCACCGGCGCCGCCGGGAGGGACATGCGGGAGTTTAGGGACGACGCCGCCACGTGGTACCTGCTATTCGGCAAGGCCATGGCCAAGCTCAGCGAGATCCCCGCCGAGGGCAGCCGCTTCGAGATCAGGAAGCACTGCAGAACCACCAACTGAAACTGCCACGACGTACACCGTCCTGAACTCGATCATGTGCAGCGTATAGTAATGGTTTGAATTCACAAGTTTGTCCTCTACCTAACTTGTACTACTCCGATATTCACCGCAAATAAAACTATGAATGATTTATAAAAGGATGTGGCTAGGTCTCGGTCTACTGAAACATAACCAAATGTCAGTCAACTGATATCGTATATATATAAAAAACTAAAAGAAAAAAATACGAATCTCTATGAAAGATCAAAGAAATATAACATCAATTGAGCCATAACGAAGTGTCAGTAACTGAGACTTAG